CACAAACCAAATAATTTTAGCCAAACTGTTCTTGGTGACTCACGCGGTTTCGCGGGAAATGTAAGGGCACGTGTTCGCGAAATGTGACTTGTAATTGGCTCACAAAATCCCCGCACATGAATTGGTGGGTAAAGACTGTCAAATGGGGGCGGATCGGGATTCGGTCGGATTCCGTGCAACGGGTCCGCATCCACACCGCTCACGCGGGAAGATCCCTAGGACAAAACAGAGGCCGGAAATCGATCGTGTTCTTAATGATAATAAAATGGAGAATATTAGGCAAACATTTCAGTAAAGCATTAACAAGTAAGAAATTCGTATTTACCTCACAGTTACGGTGGATATGCACTACTGATGAGCTCCAATGAGAGCGAAACTCGAGTCTAGTGCTTCCGAGTGTATGGTTGAAGCGATGAACTAAAGATTGTGCTTGAAGGTAAAGTTCAAAGGATAGTCAGTACAAATCAATAAGTGAGAAATTACCAAGTGGGAAGAATGGAGACCCACAACGAAAGAGGAATCGTATGCAACATTTTAATGAGTGTGAGTTCGCATCAAGAACAACACAAATAAGTTCTCATTGCATTTGTCAATGTCCCACCGGTTTTTTCCAGTATCCGTACCACGGATCTCTTGTTTGACTATTTACAATTCAAATGGTTTGAATCGGTCTCAAATTGGTTCGCGAGAAATAATTTTGTGAAACATTTATTCACCAGAATGTCGAGCATCTTAAACACACACACAGATTCATATGGGGAACGGACTGGCTTGCATGAGACTTGTGCCACCTAGTTGCGATTTTGTTCGATTGAACAGAATTTCGCCCGAGCTATTCAACAGTATAACCGAAACACAGTGGGACGAATCAACCGACTTGCATGTGATCAGACATCCACGTCATTTGGAGTTCAAACAAGCAAAAAACAGAATGTGATTTAAAGTTACGCGATTACGCTACACAAACGCTGCTCCCATTCCATCTTTTCAGCATGTTCTACCTTATCGATATGGCTTTTCGACCATGATTTGGACCCGATTCCATGATTTTGACGAGATGACTGAAAATCAAATTGGCGTGCGGCCACATTCCTTGTTGAGTACACAAGAAAAACGTTTGTGTTCTCCCATCAGTTAAATCATGCTCTATCACTGAATTTAAACAAATTCAAACAATGGCGTAATTACAGTATACTGAAAATCATAAGCCAGCCTAAATAATTCTTTGTTTCAAGAGAGAAATGGAGGATTTCATTTAATTTGAAAGAGAGAATTCTTCGTACATAGAGCAAATGAAGCATGAACTGAAAAGCTAGGAAGCACTGTACCGCTGTTTCCACCTGGTTGGGTCTCATCAGCAGCAGCAGTGAGCGAATCCATCGACCCGACTGTGGATCTTGAACCCAGGACCTCACAGGCAGAACACAAGGATTTTACCCACTGGGCCACCGGGCAGCTGATCGAACCGCTTTTAATTGTCCATTTACACGATATAGCACAACCCATCTTTGCGAGCTTGTTGCGGGCCACGGACCTCGCTTATCTCAGCACTAGCCCCCCTCCCGGGGGTTATGATTTGGTTGGAAACTTTCACAATCTCTATGCATGAAGAATTCCCCCTCGGCAATTCTCTTGGCAATTTTCTCGTTCAGTTCACAACTCAACCATCAAACAATTTTTGGTGGCTCACCGACAAGTGAGAAAGTTGGCTTCGATTTCTCTCAGCAAGAGACCCCATCGCATAGTTTAGTTCGCTTCTATCCCCATGGACAGAATAGTGTGACTGCGTCTAGGTAAATCGGTCCGAGTGAGAATTGTGAATCGGAAATGATGACCAACCTCGGGCGTGATTTGAATTCGAATATTCGACATCCAATTGAGCATCTGATCTCTGTGAATAGGTTACACGATTTGAGATGATGGAACAAACAGAGAGAGAGGAAAAACTGACCTTGACTCCGCCTGCAAAATAAACTGATTCGTTTGATCCAAAATAAAGAGAAAACGATTTTCCGTCCCATCCCCGTACTGTTCTACGCGAGATTGATTGGTCAGTGGATAATCGAAAAGTGGACGATCTTTCGATGTCCGTGGTGGATGTTTGTAATACCGTAGGTAAGGACAGGTATCACGAAGATAAAGCACAAACCAGCGTTTTTTGTCTGCCTAAATGGAATCAATCTCGTGTGGGACCTTTGTGAACTCACTTTTCGTGGACCGGGTGTTTGGGGTGGTGGTGGTGGTGGTGGTTTATATTCGACCAGGTAACCCTCGTGAATTTTCACAATCATCGACAGAGGAATATAGATAGCATTGGAAATTTTGCTACAAACAGACAGGAGCCGAGATAATCGATATGAGATAGGCCGAAGCAAACGGCCATATCAACATCCAAAGATCATGTTAACTTGTTTTCCCCTGCTAAAACATTTCTGGAGAGAATCTACTTTAAGAACGTTGCACTGCCGTAAGCATTCCCTTGCTTTCGTTCAGTTTTTTTTTATTATACACTTTCGTGTGATGAACAGCAAACGGGGCTAACCCCATAGGCACGAGAACCTGCTGTTCAGGGATGGAAACCGGTAACCTAATCCCCGGGATTTGGAGTGGTGAACCACATAAGGCCCCGATAGTTTGAGTGGCGGTTTGCTACTCGTCAGACCATAACATTAGATGGCACAGTCGTACTGGCTACAAATGCCCGATAAATTGAAATTTTGTATTTACTCAGTGAACTGGACTCCTGAAAATTCTGGTAGACCTAAGCGAACACATGAGAAATATATTTGATATTCTGGGTTGTTTCTGTCTGTAAAACCTGAACACCATCTAATCGATAACTGAAAGGACTGAAGATAATTACAATGTAGAAAGCATTTTTATGCATTTCCGTATAGCAAGAGAGAAAGTTTCATCAGAATAATGAAAAAAAGGAATGAGACGAAACTGCTGATATTTTTGACCGAACGTATAACTGTTTGGGGAAGGGGTGGCAAGTTCATTATGTAATACAAGTAAGTGGTATACGAACCATGCACACAACTTCTTGGTTATGGTCACCGGTTCGATTGGGTATCGAGGTTTATTGGGTACATTGGGCGTTTGACCCCATCTAGTAGGGGGCGTATTATCCAGTGGAGACCAGTGGATACTGGTCTCCAATGGAATGTGGTCTTCACACACCACCCAGCTGCCTTGCGGGTCAGGCTTTGATTAAAGGAATGCTCCGGTTGTGAACTCCCAAAGAAAATTTACCTGCTTTGAATTGGGCAACTTGGACAAATCACAGGCTTTTTTCCACGTTATACAGATTATTGTACCGTGATTTGTTTGGCACATAAACTGCCCTCAGGTGCGTCTGTGATGCAAGTTGTTTTAATTAACTAACGCTTTCCTCCGTTTCTTTTATTTGAATATACACGAAAAAGAATACACAATTGGTTTGCCGCAGAACCTAAATAGAAAAAGAACGGAACTGATACAATATGTGCACCAAAAGAATCTATCAAAGTTTTTTACCTAAAACTGGGACAAAGTATGAACAAACTCAATGTGTTCAGATCAGTGTTTATATATTTTTTTCTAGAGATTTTCTCGCTATATTCAAACTGGTATATGCACGATTCGTAATTAGATAACTGATAAAGTATTGAACTATTCATTCCAAATAACGTTTAAATGTGACTGATGCGAGGAACCTCGGGATGATCGTAACCGATGGTCAGAGAAACTGACTGATATGGCTGAGTGTCGTAGTTAGTGGCGTTCGTGCATCTCAATTTCTTTGCATCATCAGTCCACTAAACTTCTCAATTTTCTTTTCGATCCTGATTTAAACCTTCCTGTTTTCCTCCTATTGTTCACCCAAATGGGCAGCCAAAAGACAGCAACGAAAAGCGACGCACGGAAGTGCATGCTTAATGGTTGTTTAAAATGAATTGAACTGAATATATATAGATATATATAAACACACTACGGGATTTGGTAATCAAATTTTCTGTAAGTTTTTTCCCATAATAAAAATTTGAATTTGAATTTGAACACCAATCTTTACAGATGCAGCGTCAAAATAACCATCGGTTAACGAAAATTATAGGTACAAAAGCGGGGAAAACGAAAATAGTCAACATGAGGGAATAGCTCACTTTTTGTTTGTTTACTGCACGCCATGTTGAGCTTTTTTGTTATTTTTGCACACAGGAAATTATACATTCACGCCACTGATTTCGGTTCGATGCCATATCTCTGAGTGTCCCCAGCCAGAGACAATCTGAATCTTTGTGGCCGCATCCGGGGAGCCAGGAAACCCCAACGGAAGCGAGATTCGAGTACAGT